TACTACTCCATCTTGGGATGATGTAGAGGAAATCGAGAAGAACCTCATGTGGCGGGATGTTTAGGTATTTCTATATTTGTTGAATACTTTATATATCATTATTAATTGAATTTAACATTTATTGGTCATTTCACGACAGAAATTTTGATGTTCCTAACACCGAGGTGATGAGGAAGAATATTTTATCCTCCATTGCCATTAGATGGAGGGACTTTAAGACTTTCTTGACACGGGAGTATGTATTTAGAAAGTTTCAAGATGAATCTCCCTGTCTAAAGTATCAAATTAGTGAGGAGGATTGGTTACGAGCTTTGTGCCAGCCGAATGGACCCTCTTGGCAGGATAAAAGACGTGTCGCCCATCAACGTCGGAGGTTGAATGATGCACCCCATGTATTGTCACGAGGAGGGTATGCATTATTGGAGCAACGTCTCATGAAAGCCGGAGAAGAGTCGGTAGGAGTTGAGTCTACCGACCTTGCATCTCCACCCCCTCGCTATGAGATGTGGAAGGCAGCCGGAAAAAATCGATGGACAAATGACTTCGAGTCCGCACGAATCATTGCTCGAGAAAATCGTAAGTTATAATGTCAATTTGAATTGATTCTAATGTGAAAGTTAGTGTATGACTTAATTATTGTTAATGTGTTGTAGGATGATTTAGTTGAGCAGAGCACCCAAGGATCATTTATTCCTCATGGTCGACAAGATATATTGGCGACGACCATAGGAAAACCAGATTACTCGGGACGTGTGCGTGGTGCTGGTGGATCCCGGGGCCTTCGTGATTACTTTGGTCCAACATCACGAAGGACCACTACCGACTCTTACGACCGGGAGGCCTTGCATAAAATGGAGATGCAGTTTGAAGAAAAGTTAAATCAAATAAGGCGAGTCCTTGCAGCAAGAGTTTGATGAGAAAAATGAATCTCTCGCCCGCTCTCGACAATGGACTCAAGGAACACCTCAAACAATTGAATATGATGTTGTTCGAGTCAGCACTAAAGGGAGTTGTGCTCGCTACTGCTGCCGATCCTTCAGGAGAATATACTCGAGATCGATGCATCACACCGGTGTGAGTTATATGTTGAAGATGACCCCCCGCGTCTAGTGGCTATTGGTCGAGTTTTTTAGGGTGGTTTAACCATCCATGGTGTCTCTCTACAGGCAGACTGGACACGAGTAGTAGTTGATGAAGTTCATGATGCTAATGCTCCAGTGCCTTTTCCTAATGAAGAGATTCAATTAGTGGGGCAGGCAAGCGGGACATTCTTGGCTTGGCCAAGACGTTTGGTTATGCCACTATCAGACACGGACCAAGGTAATATATATATATATATATATATATATATATATATATATATATATATTATCTATTTTCTCTTTTCTAGTATTATAATTATATAAATGTTTAATTAATTGTTATCATTTGTTTAGGAAGACTTGCGTCGTGCTAAGCATAAAAAACAACATATTATTGATGAGGATTTGACGAGAATGTGATGATGATCTCATCTCTATGTTGTTGACCATATTACCACTGGTTGAGGAAGAGACCGTGTCGATACAATGGGATGTTAGAGTGTTTGGAATTGACAATTCCAGGTGTTCCATTATACATTTCCTTTCCGATGCTTTAGAAATTACTGGGGAAATTGCATGTTAAACATTTCCATCATACAATTGTGGGCAATGTAAGTCATTCTCATTTATGTTTCTAAGATTATAATAATTATATTCAACTTATAATTAATTGTTTTAGGTACATTGACAAATTGAGTGTGGAACAAGAAAAATCCGAAGTATACTGGATTTATTGAGCCTCAATCCATCCAAAAATCTGGAAATACAAAGGTTGGAATCCAACAATATATGCAAACATGGATGGGTGACTCAAAAAGACATATATTTAGCTCCATACATTGAAGGGTTAATATTTTAATTTGTATTTTAATTTATATTTTTGTAACTAATTTTTATGTCATACAATGTAGGTCCCATTGGCACTTAATTGTAATCATACCTGGGGATTACACTCGTGGTGTGGTTTTGTTCATTACATCGAAACCGAGTCAAGAAATGAAAAGTTTATTACAAGGGTAACTTTATCTTTTATTCATTAATTATGTTTTTAAATTGTAAATACATATTGAATAATATATGACTTTTTTCACTTAGAATCGTGTATGGAACTAATGTTCTAAGTGGAAAACCTAGAACAAAGACTTTGCAGTTCATTTATCCTAAGGTTAGAAACTTATTTATATAAGTGAATACCATAATTATTGTTTGTATTTAAATTTTGAAAATAACATTATGTTTTTTTCATCATTTCAGTGTAATAAGCAAACACTCGTTTGAATGTGGTTACTATGTTATGTATTGGTCGAGAGCCATAGTTTGTGCAGGTATAATTGATTCTTGGACGGAGGTAATTGCTTTTAACATTAGTTAAGTTTATTTAACTTTATTCATGTTGCATGTTTATAAGAGTCAAATTAATATTTCAGGTATTTCAAGATCCATCTCCATTACCAGAATATAATATTACACAAATTAGAGAACAATGGGCAAAATTTTTTGTTCAACAATTCTAGTACATAATTTTTTAAGTTCTTGTTCATATTATATTGTATGTATTATGTAGTTTAGGTAGCTTAGTTTGTATTAACTTTTAGTTTGTAATAGATTTTTTAGTTTGTATGTTTGTATTATATTGTTTTATTATGTAGTTTGAATTATATAATATTATATTTTTAATTTACTAGCTAAAGAAAATTGAACCTCTGAATCTGTCTGGTTATAATATATATTTGCAGGTTTTAGTTGTAAAACAGAATCAACCCAATTTAAAAAACAAAAACAACAAATTTACGTCGCATATGGTATATGCGACGTAAATTTACGTCGCATATACCAATACGCGACATAAATTTGCTGTTTTTTTTAATTTCTGAAAGTTTTTACGTTTGTTTAGTGGTATATGCAACGCAAAATTACGTCGAGTCTTGATAACTGACGTAAATTTACGTCGGGCTAAAGGGTCCAACGTAAATTTACGTCTCCCGTTTTAACGTCAGTCTTAAATATGACGTAAAAAGCCCTAAATACCTGACGTAAAAACCCTTTTTTGCACTAAAATGACAATCACACATTTTATCAGACAACCTACATCCAATAAACTAAAACACTGAAATTAGGGCAACAAACCATACGAAACATATTTCACCACCAGTAACCACATTAAACACTCAAATCATACAAAAATAGGACAACATACACAATGTTATTGAACAGGCCTCAAAACTTTCAAATGTATTCTTCCTCATAACCAATCAATTGACTGTCAACCCACTACAACCAAAAGAAAAAAGAAATGTGTTTTGTTAAACTCACCAAAATAGTTCTACCGTTAAGGCACCCATACTATTAAGAGTGTGACTGTATCAGTTAAAGTGAACACTTGAAAGATCAACATCAATCTATTTTAGCATTATGAATACATATGTTATCAAAGTTGATACTAATACCAATATTAAATAGTCCCTTTTTATAGTTTTCTAAAGAAAAAAATTCATAATGATGCACATAATTTATGTGACCAACCCTACAATCTTCTCAATTTCTCGAATCACCACCAATAAAGTGTAGTGTGTGAAATGTTTGATAGATATATTACTAAAGATAGAAATCAAACTTAAAATGTTGCCACCATTTTGATGCTCTCTCTCATACGTAGAATCACAAAAATGCTAAGTTATTTCACTAAAAAGAAAAAAGAAAAAAAAAAAACTAACCAAAATCCACCGTCCATATACCAACACAAGGAATTTTCAATACTCATTTCCATAAAAACTATCTCTTCTACATCTCAACTCCAAAACACAACAAATTAAAACTCGAATTTCAAAACTCAAATTTGGCATAATTTTTCACAAGTCTCTTACAACAAAGGCATGGCAGAAACTCTGAGGTTTGAATTTCTCAAGCGGTGATAAAGTTTTTTTCTTGATTAAAAATAGTAATAAATAACAAAAACATTAAAAGCAGTGGGAAACGTGATTAACTAATTGATCTAGGTTAAGTATCGATAATAAGCTTTTTTATGTTCTCAATAACACCGTTAGCGTTGTTGATGAGAGAGGGACTATCATCCAATAAAAAAAGAGCTAGGGATTGAATCAGTAAAGCAAGAAGAAAAGTCAGGATTATCCGATCAAAGAATTAGGAATTGAGCCGATGAAGGAAGAAGAAGAGCTCGGATTGAGGTATGTTCCCAGTAATAAGCTTCTTCTTTTTTTTAATTTGTTTGTAATTTGATTTTCCAACTAAAAAAAACAAATGAATAAAAAATGTGGCGGAAGCAGTGTCTAATGGGGATGAAAAAAATGGGTGTATGTTTGTCACCGTCCTTTGCTTATTTTTAGTATGTAAAAAACTTAACCATAAAAAGTAACCACTTTGAATTTCTTTGCTATTTCTTGACAAGAACTGATCTGAAAGACGAGGCCTCTCTGATGCACAATGAAGTATGTATGTCATAAAGTGTATTCAAGAATGAAACTGGTCTACGCATGTTACAAATTTCATTTATACCATTTAACTTTTTGAAGACGTTTTTAAAGTTTCTATAACGACGAAATTGGAGAAGAATGGGACAAGAGTTAGGAACATGTCACTCTGAACATCATTATTTCTTTATTTATAGCTCTCAGCATATTTCTCTGGTGGAAACAAGATGTATACTAGTAGTGTATACACCATATTCAACTATAGAGGCTCTTAACATATCCAAAGACAAGCATACATAGTGACATATATATAGTGTAAATATTTATATATCTATAAGCTTAATTTATACACACAAAGCATCTTGATTCAGACAACACAAAAATCAACAGTGGTGAAATTCTGTTATTGAAGAGTGTCTGTCTGTGTGGAGATGGTTTATATGGGATGAAAAGCGTATATAAATTAAACTCTGTGTTTAGGTTTGGATGTTCAGCAAGTTGGGTAGGCAACCCCACAAGTAGTAACGACCTCTCTGGCACGAGGAGAGTTAACATACTGCCTAAGAGCAGGGTTTTTGACGTAACCACATAAGCATGGCTTCTGCTCCTTCAGCTTCTTACAGCAAGCATCTGTGGGTCGATCTTTGGAAGTGATTGCTGGAAGACATGGAGTCAACTCTGTTGCGACGCAATTTACAGCCTCAGCCACACGTCCCACCCCTATGAGAACGAGTGCCACGAGCACCACTGCACACATAACAGACTTCACCATCTTACTATAACAGCGAAACACACACAGTTAGTAGGTTATAATGCTTAAATGACTCACTCACTCACACTGAAAAAATGTGGGTAGTGGAAGGTTTATATAAGAAGAGGAAGAGTAAGTGGGTGTGGTTAGTGGTTTGTTTGGTTGGAATTAATATTAATGGGTTGTGTTGGTGGGAAATAAATGGGCAATGTCCCCACAACATTAATGGAAAGGGCGTTGGGATGATGTTGGCATTACTCGGAATTATTTTGCATTGAGAGAGCACCCAAAATTTGGTGGCATCAATTTGTGTATGTGTCAGAGTGTGAGGACTGTAATCATGGACTTCATTTCAATGCAATGGACCCACCAATAGTTTGACATGGTCATGTGTTAGTGTTACCCACATCAAACTCCTAAGAAAATCAGGCACACATGTCCATAACATGTCAGTGCCTCCTTGCATGAAAGCCATGCCCTCTTATCAATTTCAAAGCGTTAGGTATTTTACATTTTCACTAATTTCCCTCCTAATAAATAAGCATTGAAATAGTTATACTATATGCTTTAAAATATAGTATTATAAAAAAATATTATATCCTATATGTGATTGGTTTGATATTTTCAATTTGGTATCTGTTCAGACATTTTTCGTCAAACCCATCAATTCCTCAAGCTAATATGGAGACTAGCATGTGAAAAATTTCTTTTAATTAAAAAAATATTCTTTTAATACAATCAATAACAAAAATAATATATAAGGTAAAAATTTATTTTAAAAAAATAAAAAAAATTTACAGTCATTTATTTATTGTCAAAAACACTTTTAATTCTAAAACATAAATTCATCTCCTTCTTTTTATTTATCTAAGTATTGATTATTTTTATTTTTATTTAAATTGAGGTATGAGAATTACTCTTTTTATCAAATAAAAAATATAATATAATTTTCATTTTAGATATTTAAAATTTTTAATATAAAAAAATAAAAATTTTATAAATTTTGATATTACTTACGTATATTTACGTATATTTGTTATTATATACATTTTATGAAATTTGATTGTTTTAAATTATAAATTTTTAATATAATATATTAACTTATATTGTTAACTTAATATATACTTTAAATGGTTGAAAATATGTAATAATTTTATTATAAAAAATTTAATTTTAAAAAATAAATAAATTAAAAAAAATATAATACGGACCAATCCCATAATTCATCTTTAAAGGTATACCTCCTTATAACTATAACGGATAAATTCATTCTATTTTTTACAAATAAAAAAAACTGAAACGACACAAAATGGGCCGACTGAATTGGATTATTATTTCTAATTTATTATTAATTTATTATTAATTTATTATTGAAAATAATAATATATAATTTAATTCAATAATTTGATTAAAATAATTATCAATTTATCTTAAACAGCATTTATGTTTAAGATTTGTGGAATCACGGAATGAATAAGAAATTAATACATTCTTTAGTTAAAAAAAGAAGTGTACTTATGGAGAAGATAGGGAAGTTGTACGGTGGTAGTTATGGTTGTGGACCAGTGAGCCATATGTTGCTGTTCCTTCTACAAGATTACGTGTTCAAATTTAAGAAAGCATAGTAATGTATCCATGAACATGTCTATGTCCAGATTTAGAACTGCGTGCAATGCTAGTAGGGGACCGAAGGCCCTACATCTTTTAATTTTATATATATATATATATATAGTAATAGGTTATATATTTAGATAATTATTTTTCACTTACTAATATAATTAAGATTACACTTCATAACAAGATAAAAGATTTTTTTTTTTACTTTTTTATAATGATAATTGAAAATAAATAATTAAAAAGTTTAGTATAGATATAGTAACATGTCATAAAGACGTTTGTATTTAAATAAATTGTTTATGTAATTAATATTTTGAACATTATAATAGAAGGTAGTGTGGGCCTCCTAAATTGAATCTTGATTCTTTGGGTCTGTCGGTGATACTAACGGTTGACTTACATAGGCTTGAGAGAGGGACAAAAGTATTTTATAACTATAATAATATTAAAATAATTATTCTTAGTTTTAGTGCGTTTCTCCACTTTTTTTTTTTTCCAAAATAATATTAAAAAAATTATTAATTACTAGTACCATCTCCCAATTTATTTAGACATGTTTACGGTGGAAGGTTAGAATTCAGTTTTCGAATGAAAATGTCGCCCGTGAAAAGCTGAATGCAATCAGAACTCGATGTTCCCAATAACCGAATTCTGAACTGTATTTTATTTTTTTCTGTGCTTATTTATATATATATATATATATATATATATATATATATATATATATATATTTTATACAAATTTATTTATATATATATATATATATATAATTAATATTTTTATATATCTTGATATATTTAATATATATATATAATTAGTATATATTTACAAATTTAGATATATTTTAATATTTATATGTTTAATAAATACATATTTATATATTTATATTTGATAGATATTTATATTCATGCTATAAAATATTAAAAGATCATAAATTAATAATGCATAATTGAATCAATACAAATTCAACTAAATTAGAAATAATACAAGATAAATGGTAACTGAAGAATCATCTGGTAAATCATGAAATAAATATGGACGTTGTTATCCTATGTTTATTGAACGTATCTACTATCTTCTAAATCACAAATCATTTCTTCATGTGTTGTCCTTCGAATAGTCTTGGCTTAAACAAACAATTCAATATTTCCTCATGTTTATTCCATTATACGGTTAGGTGTAGAGATTGTGTTTTTTTTTTCAATGATTGATCATTTGAGTCACAACAGCATCAATTTTAATCCTATGGAGTCGTGAATGATCTTTTGGTTTCGCACCCGAACTAAATGACAATAGTTGATTTCAATAATTTTGTTGTGATCTCCATAGTCAAGTACTTGAGTAATGTTTTCATATAGTTCAACAAAAGATCTTATGTGTTGGATTACCATTGTTCAATAGTTTAAAATGTATTAGTGAGACTAAAACTATTTGGACTTTTCATGATGGTTGCACGTTGGACAAGACCACCAAAATAAATTATAGCTTTAGAGGAAGAGATATTGTTTGGGTTTGCATAAGAGGTAGAAAAAAGGGGTTAAAAAACATCATTATTTCATAAGTAGATCTTCTACATTGAACATATAATTCAATGATAGTATCCAAAGGGAATTGTGACTTATAAGTAATCATTTTAGATACATCAATATCAGAAAATATTTCAGTAGCATCATATATAATTAAACCATCATTTATCAGTTTTGGTTAACGGTAATACAACTTATTGATTGATGTGTCTACATGAATATCCAAAGAAGTGCATATTTTTTCTTCAGAATGATCAATGTGCAACTGTGTGGAATTCGAAAAAGTTTAGGAGATGCATATTAAAAGTACACTTCTTCCTCATTTTTTGTGATTTGTCTGTTTGTAAACATTACTACAAGATAAGAGTTATCAAAATTTGCAATGTTTGTGATATCAAGGTCTTCCATTTAAAGAGTAAAAAGAAGAAGAACACAAAGGTTGGATATGATTTTTGATAGGCAAGATGAGTGGACAAATTTGTTATGAGAATAAACTTGAATTTATATATGTCATTTACTGTATTGTTTAGATGAAAATGCCCCCATAATAAGTTAGTGTACTTTTTATTTTGAGGTGGGCCTTGGACAATATAATAGTGACTTGACTTTGACATTGGACAATGTATGTTAAATGTGGATTGTTGATATTTGGGGATTCAATTTTGACCATTACTTTTTCCTGACACATTGAACAATATATGGTATAGAAGAATCTTATCCTAAACAGTATTTCGAAGTTAGTCTTAAACAATGTAGATATTGAGCAATGTGCATTAGTGTGTGATATTGAGGAGTTTTATCTTGAATAGTATTTCATGCATCCCTAGGTTGGTTTTGAAAAGTGCATATTAAATCTTGACTATTAATGTTTTGAGATATAATCTTGACTGTTAGTTTTTGTTAAGATATTGGACAACGTACGTTAATGTACGGTATAAAGGAGTTTTATCGTGAACAATAAACTACTTGCTTTGACTTGATTGTTGGGCACCTAGAACTTTATATATCCATATAAGAAGTTTTATTTGACAATAAACAAAGTTTTAATTGCTTGAGATATGTGTGCCTTTATGAGTTATTTGACATTAAGTTAGTTCATTAGTTATAATGATATTTGTTTAACTTTTAATATTAAATAATTAGATATAAATATTTTAAGAAAATAATATTGAGTAAATTTTTCTTGTTATTGGAAATTTAGTAAATATTTTTCATATTTTAAGAAATTGATAAAGTTGGATAGTTGACAATAATATTTAAATAAAAAAAGCACATTTAAAATGAATTACGGAAAAAGTTATAATATGCATTACAGAAAAAGTTAAAGTACAATTATTATGCATTATGCAAAAGTTATTATCCATTAAGAAATGTTAAACTAGTCTTTGTAATGGTGATCAGTTCCACAACCAGGACGTCATCTATTACGTCCTGGATTTCTTCTTCAATGTTTTTCTTGGGACGGTCCTTCTTACAATGGTGGTTTTTGCGATGGTTGTTGCTTAAGTGATTCATGCGGAAGAAAGGTTGAGGAACTAGTTCCTTCATGATGATACTGTGGTGGGTACATTGATTGCATATAATCATGGGCAGATGAGGGTGTTATAGGATTTTCTCCAAATAAATTTGAAAAAAAAGTCATTTGAACTTGAATAAAAAGAAAGTCGTGAAGGATCCATTGCTGATTGTGGTGGAGGTGTCCAGTAGGAAATACTTTTGAACGGTTGGTGTGGAGGCATTTGAAATGATGGTGTACTGGATGAGCCAATTTCAAATGTGCGTAATTAGCTGCGTGCACATTGTTGGTTTCTTGGATCTTAAAGTAGTTCTTGCACAAACAATAAATAAATTGAATTGGCAGTGTACCATTCTATGCAT